TGCGTGAGTGTTGGAGTAGTTGGAGACGGAGAGAGAGGAGGAGAAGAAGAAGAAGAGGAAGAAGAAGAGGAAAAGGAGGAAGGGGAGGAAGGGGAGGAGGAGGAAGAAGAAGAGGAAGAAGAAGAGGAAAAGGAGGAAAAGGAGGAAGGGGAGGAGGAGGAGGAGGAGGAGGAGGAGGAGGAGGAGGAGGAGGAGGAGGAGGAGGAGGAGGAGGAGGAGAAGAAGAAGAAGAAGAAGAAGAAGAAGAAGAAGAGGAAAAGGAGGAAGGGGAGGAGGAGGAGGAGGAGGAAGAGGAGGAAGAGGAGGAAGAGGAGGAAGAGGAGGAAGAGGAGGAAGAGGAGGAAGAGGAGGAAGAGGAGGAAGAGGAGGAAGAGGAGGAAGAGGAGGAAGAGGAGGAAGAGGAGGAAGAGGAGGAGGAGAAGGAGGGGGAGGAGGGGGAGGAGGGGGAGGAGGGGGAGGGGAGGGGGGGATGAAAGGACAGTAAGAAAGAGGAGAAGGAAGAGGAGGAGGAAGAAAAAAAAATAGTAGGAAGGGGGTAGGAGGTGCAGGAAGAGGAGGAGTAAGAGGAGGAGGATGAAAAACGAGAAAAAGGAGGAGGGAGGAGTAGGAGGAAAAAAAGAAAAAAAGAGAATATCATTAATAAGAAAGAAGAAAAATAAAGGAAGAAGAAAGAGAAGAAGAAGAAAAAGAAAGAAAGAAGAAAAAGAAAGAAGAAGAAGCAAAAGAAAGAAAAAGAAAGAAGAAGCAAAAGCAATGACAAATTCCCTTCCTAAATAGACATCCCCTGCCTCCTTAATCAGAATAAAATCACGTTAAATCTACTTCGCTCTTTCGCGGTCCAAACTCGATTACCTTCTGACTGCAGCGGCGGGATCTATAGAGTAAAGTGTTGCGTGTAGTAATGCTGTTTGAAATGCCGTGTACACATTTATAGAATTTTATATCAGTTTGATTGGCTCATGTAAATTATATTATTTTGACTTTGTTATTCATTTTATAACTCTGATGCAAATTTCGAATCTATAATTACCGTGAATTGATTGAATTATTAGGTGCAAAATAATATTGACAGTATCTTTTGATGTATGGACAGCAATATATGTATAACCGCATATTTTTTTTTTAAACTTTTGAATCACCGTATCGTTCAAATATTCCTCACCCCCCCCCCAAAAAAAAAAATAGAAATGCGAAATACCCTCTCCTGTGACCCCCCCCTCACCCCCACCCCGAAAAAAAGATAAATAAAAGAATCAAAAGAAATAGAAAAGGATAATACTCGAATAACTCGAAAGAAAGAAAAGAAAAGAAAAGAAAAAAACTCCCTCTCCTTCTCACACAAACAAAGGGGGCAGGGGGGGGGGATCAAACTAGAATGAATACACGAAAGAAAATTCACCTTCGAAAATGATGACGTCACAGTAGCGAATGAAAAGGAGAGGAGGAGATTGTGATGAAAGATAATATTGTGTTATCAATGAGACAAGACTTAACCCCCCCCCTCCCCACAGACACACACATCAGAGGCGGGTCAACATCCCGTTTTCTACGGATGTTATGAAGGTCATTCATAACAAGAGAGTGAGAGAGGGGAGGAGGGAGGGAGGGGAGGAGGGAGGAAAGGGAGGAGGGGAGGAGGGAGGGAGGGGAGGAGGGGAGGAAGGAGGGAGGGGGGAGGGGAGACGGGGACGAGGGAGATGGTATGAGAGAGGATGGGAGAAGGAGAGGGAGAGAGAGAAACTCATAGAAGGAGAAAGTAAAAGAGGGGGAGGGATAAAGATAAAAAGAGAGAGAGATAGATAGATAGACAAATAGATAGACAAATAGATAGATAGATAGAGAGAGAGAGAGAGAGAGAGAGAGAGAGAGAGAGAGAGAGAGAGAGAGAGAGAGAGAGAGAGAGAGAGAGAGAGAGAGAGAGAGAGAAACATAGAGAGAGAAAGAGGAAGAGAAAGAGAAATAAAAATAAGAATAAAAATAAAAAATAGATAAACAGAGAAATACAAAACTGGGAAGAGCATGAGAGAGAGAGAGAAAATAACGAAGGCATTGTCTCTGCCAATTGCAGAGAGCATCCTGCATGGAGTACGCCAGACCATGGTTTAGATGAACATATACTTGCTACGCATGTCTGCGCCTCCGTTTGCGTGTGACAATGCATGCGCCGGATTTTGCTGTTCGAGTGTTTTTTTACATCTCCATAGAATTTAACCATTTATATATATAACATTTATTCACATTTTTAAATTGATATAACCCGTGAATGCAAAGCTCGAAATTGCAACGCAATACGTGTAAGGACACATGTGCGTTGTGTCCGCGTGTGTGAGACTGTGTGTATGTATGTACGTGACCGCGTGTGTGAGTCTGTGTGTGTGTGTGTGTATGTGCGTGTCCGCGTGTGTGAGGGAACATTGGGTAAATAACACGTAGGTACAAGAGTAAAGTTACAACAGCTGTGAAAGACAGTGTTAGTGGGGGTTCGGTTAGGGGGGGAGAGGGAGGGGGGGAGTGCGGTTGGGAGGAAGCGTGAGAGAGGAGGGGGGGTGCTGTTGGGGGAGAGGGGGAGA